TGCACTATATGTAATGTATTAACTCAAAAAAGACAAATAGAAATTAAGAAATTAACAGAGAATTTGTAGAGCTGATGTTGGAAAAGCAAAATGTGTTTGTTATTTGTTATTATCCTGTTATTGTTTATTATCCTGATACCTATAGAAAATTCACTAAATTTAGCTCTATTGTGTCATAATAAACACATTTTTTTACAGTCACATCTGCAGGAGATGAGTCAGCGTTCAGTCTGTGTGTTGGTTCAGGCACAAAACATTCTTATATCCACAAACTCACATTTAATATATAGACTTAAACCATGTTACATCAGGCTATATATGACCTATGAAACATGCCCTACAAAAGTGTTACGTATACTATCACAGCAAAGCAGAATTTCTAAGCGTGTAAGTGGTTGTGGTCATCATCTGCAGACACATATGACTGCTCCTCCATACAGTCTGTTTGCATTCCTCTAATAGAGACAAGGAGCTGCTGTCAGCTTTCAGCTACACACACACATGCACACACTTACAACAGCAAACAGGAGGTGTGGTCCTGGTGTCCCACTGACTGACATATGGCTCTCTGTTGGGTTCCACTTGTGTTTTACTGATTTCTCATTTTTAAATCATGCTAGATGCTAGATTTAAATAAAATCAATTCAGCTCCACTTAAATGCATTGTTAATAAAGTAAATTTAATGTAAACCAATGACTGTTTTCTATAGTCATTGGTAGAAATCAAAACAAAGTCACAAAAATGGACCAGGACTGCTTTTTCCTTTGAATCAGCTCTTAATAAGAAATTAAAAGATGACCATGGTGTCACTGCTTTTGAATATTTTATATATGTTACTTTAATTACTGGCAGGACAATAATGTGGAAACTAAAATTTCAGTATTAAGGTTACCAATTTGAAAATAAACTATGGAGACTAACTTAAAATAACAAAACTAATTAGGCTATTACACTTTCTAAGAGAGCAATTTGAGTCATACGCTGCTCCTTATAATTTGCTTCTTGATGCTTTTTGTGACTCGGGTCATTTTAAACTTGTTTGTGCTCTCTCTTTCAGGTAAATGAATATCTGAAAGAGATTGTGGCGCAGGAGCAAAGGAAGAAGGAAACGCAGGGCAGCGAGCCTGCTGGGAGTCCTCGGGTAGGTGATTTTTTCCCCTTC